CTCCTCCTCTTCCTCCTCCTCCTCCTCATCACCAGCATCATCATCATCATCATCAGAAGCAGCAGCATCATCACCATCACCGTCCCCATTCGCATCCTCATCTTCTCACACCTCCTCCTACTTCAAGGCTCCTCTACCTCCTCCACCTGCTCCTCCTCACTTCCTTCCTCTCCTCCTCCCTTTCCCCCCTCGTCCTCCTCCTCAGTGTCGTCATCCTCCACATTGTCCTCATCCTGCCCCTTCTCCGCCTCATCTTCTTCATCCTCCTTGCCAGCACCGCCACCACAACCATCACCACCATCACTATTACCACAATCAGCATCCACATCATCAGCATCATCATCAGCATCATCATCATCATCATCATCATCATCATCATCATCATCATCATCATCATCGTCGTCATGACCAGCATCATCATCATCATCATCATCATCATCATCATAATCAGCAGCAGTATCATCTCAGCATCATCATCATCACAAGCATCATCAACAACAGCATCACCATAATCAGCAGCATCATCAGCATCATCAGCGTCATCATCATCATCATCACCATCGCCAACAACATCAACATCAACATCAGCATCAGCATAACCATGTACATCATCATCACCATCATCAGCAGCATTATCAGCATCATCCACATCACCGTCATCAGCATCTTCATCGTCATCAGCATCATCCTCATTTCCAGCTGTATCGTCAGAAGCAGCATCACCATCATCAGCATAATCATCAGCATAGTCCTCCTCTTAGTCATCAGCATCACCATCATCAGCAATAGCAGCATCATCCACATTACCGTAATCAGCATCGGCATCGTCATCGGCAGCATCATCATGTTCAGCTTCATCATCAGAAGCAGCATCATCATCATCAGCAGCATAATCATCAGCATAGCGCTGCTCGTAGTCATCAGCGTCACCATCATCATCAGCAGCAGCAGCGTCATCATCACCATCGTCATCATCATCAGCAGCAGCATCAGCGACATCATCATCAGCATCAGCACCGCACTCATCACCGTGAGCATCGGCATCATCATCCATATCATAATCATTCTCAGCATCGGCATCACACGTATCATCAGAATCATGAACATCCTCTGCATCATCACCATCCTCCTCCTCCTCTCCCTCCGCCTGCTCCCCCTCATCATCATCATCATCATCATCATCATCATCGTCATCATCATCATCATCAGCATCATCATCATTATCATCATCAGCATCGTCATGAGCTTCAACATCATCATTGTCAGCAGCATCATCATCCTCATCTCCATCCTCATCCTCTTCCTCATCATCATCACCTTCTTCACAATTATCATCGTCACCGTCGTCGTCAACATCATCGTCGTCGCCGTCATCATCAACATCATCATCCGCAGCATCGTCATCATGATCAGCATCAGCATCAGCATCAGCATCTGCATCATCATCGTCGTCGTCGTCGCCGTCGCCGTCGTCAGCAGCATCATCGTTATCAACATCATCACAGTCCTCATCAGCATCATCCTCATCAGCAGCGACTGCAGTACCATCGTCATCAGCCGTACCAGCATCATCATCAGTAGTAGCATCATCGCCATTATCAACTGACATCATCATCCCCCCATTCATCCTCATTCTAGCCCTCCACCTAATCATGGCCCTCCTTGTTTCTGCCAGTTCCTCCCTCATCATCCTTCTCCTCCTCCTCCTCCTCCTCCTCCTCCTCCGCATCCTTATCATCAGGAGTAGCAGCAAACTAACTATCACCATCACCATTACCATCATGGGCATGATATTCAGCAAAACTACCTTTAGCGACGTCATCATCATTATCATCATCATTACCCGAACCATCCTCATCATCGCCATCATCAGCGTCCTCGTCATTATCGCCATCATCATAAGCAACACCACCCGCCTTCCTGCATCCCTCTTTTCCCCCCCTCCGCTCGTCTAGTTCTCTCCTTCCTTCTCTTCCTCCTCCTCCTCCTCCACATCCCTCCCTAATCGTCCTTACCCATTACTCTCCCATCGTCCCCGTGCTACCGCTTGTCCTGCCCCTCCCCCCATCTAGCGCCGCCGGGCGCAGGACGAGAGAAAGGTGATCTCCTTCGCCATCTGGGAACAGCGCATCTCCAGCTCCAGGATACGGCGGTCCTCGGGTGAGCAAACTGCGCAAAAACTTCATGTAGCACATCTCACCGTTGCATTCCGCAAAGACAGACACACACGCTAGCGACTATCTTGTGGCTGCAAAGGTCAATCATTCATCAATATGTAGCGTTATCAGTGGTTGCCGAGTTTGCGTTGCAATACACGGCTTATCCAGGCTACGCTATCAACTCACAAATGGTCACTATCTTTGGACGAGGCTTCGACATGTTGAACAAACTCCCGGACGAACGTCCAAACACATTACGCCAGCACTGACTCGACTATGTTTGAGACATGTTTGGCCCAAAACAGTGGGATCCTTGATTCAATTCAGGGCTGCAGTGTCCGCGCCTCCTCTTCTGGTGACCCTTCAAGGTCATCCCCACTGGAGCGCACACCTCCCGAAGATACAACATGCAATGTTGCAACCTATCAGACTCGTGGCCACCACACGGTAATGCTTGGAAGCGGGAAGCGGGAACCAGCGGTGCAGGGGCCGCCCGCGCCCGGGCCCCTGGAGGGCGGTCGGGCTCGCTGGAAAAGCAAATGCGCAAGAATCCCTCGACGTGGTGAAATCAAAAATGGCCTGGGGACTGCAAGTGACGAACGACAACATGAACGGCAATAGCTCTTATTCCAGGGAGACGAGAGGAGGGGGGGGAAGGAGGAGGGAAGGGAGGGAGGGGGGGAGAGGAAAAAACAAAACCTCACCCTGGCGGTTGTTGTGCAGTGAGATACCGTACATACTGCAGTGGGGGAAAGGCATCAAGCTCAATCGCTGAAGCGTTTTCATGGACGGCCGGGCAGGCGGCAGCCCTCAGGGGTCCAACTCAAAAGCTTGGTCGACCACCGCCCGTCGGTGCGACTCTCCGTTTTCTCTGTCAATGCCTGTTTCCTGGACTGCTGCTGATCAACCCAACTGCGGTATCCAGCTCGCCGGAACGTGTTTTCAGCCCGATGCGTTGCGCGGAGAATCCAATCCACCCATGGTTCCGGCTCTACGCTCATATCCGCGAGCTCATGTTGCATCCGCCGCGTGGGAATAATCTTCCGCAACATCCGTCTTTCTGCCGTCTGGAGCCGCTTCGCCCTCTCTGAGGTCATGGTCCAGCAACCACTGCCGTAGAGTACGGTTGGTGTGATCACGGCGCTGAACAGGCGCATCCTGTACCTGAGCGGGTAATGGATATTCTTCAGCTAGAGATGGTAATGCTTGGGCCTCCAGAGAACCGTCTAGCCTACACTATCTAGATGAGTCCTCCTTTGCAGGTAAGCGCTACCTTCATTCCTGTATCGTAGCCACCTACCATGATGTGCGGAGTCTTCGGAAGAACCGACAGCGGAATGCTCACGTCTGGGGCAGGGGGGAAAGGGAGGATCGCCACTAGTCGATATGAGTGCTCCGTGCTGGCGCGAGTACATGCTGCTGTGAGCACACCAATCACAAGAGCATCACACGCGCGCCTGTGCATCGTGTGCCCGCCAGCCTGCCTTACACTGCAGGGGAGCGGAGGAGAGAAAGAGGACTGCCAACGCGCGCCGATGGAAACCGGCCACTCTGGGCCAGAAAAGACAGGGTCGGAGGATCGTGCAGCATCGCCAATACAGCGGCGAAGCACCCGCGACGCCGGGATGGAACAGATCGGGCTCCGGATCGAGCCGCACCGCCGAATCACTGGCGATGCGGCTTGATCCTCCGACCCCGCCTGCTCAGGTCCACGCCTGGGCGGCCCAGCAAGCCGCCCGAGAGTTCGCACCCCACGGGCGCTGCCGGGCCTCCGCGGCGCCCCAGCGACCCCGCCTCTGCCGGCAAGCCGGGGGCGAGCCATGCCTTCTGGAACGCATCGCCGTCGGAGGCGAAGTCGAGGGCGCACGGGCATCGCGGGCTGCCGCCGGCTCGCCCCACGAAGCCCGCGACGAGGCTGGAGGCCACCTCGGCCTTGGAGGCCTTATGCCCCCGCCCAGCAGGCAAGCCCGCAGCACCTCGATGGGCGGGAGCTGCTCCGCTGCAGCGCCCGCGTTGTGCGCCACCACGGCGCCCGCGATGGCGGCTTCCCCCCTCTCGAGCACGGAGAGGAACTTCGCCTGGGTCGTGTCGTCCTGCTCCCTGCGGCCCTTCTTGCGCTTCGTGCCGCAGTTGGGCCCTAGGGCGTACACCATGGCGACGCTATTGCTGCTGAGAGGTCTGCAACAAGAGGAGAAAAATCGCCACCGAGACCATGCCCACTGGCCTCAACGGCTCCATGAGTGCCCTTCCAGGATCAGACCAGCAAAGCCAGCGAGGTCGCTGAACAGCCACTCCTCCCACAAAGCCCAACACTCTGCACAGTGAGGCTTGCAGGCAAAACCGGGCAACCTGAACGGCTCCCAGCACTCGGCGATTCTCTTGCAATATGAACACTTGCCAAGCCGATCATTGGTCGCATCAGTGGGTTTCATCGCCGTGCCTAATGCGACACTGGTCACCGGGGGCATCCCTGGCAAGCAGCGCCTGGTGGAGCGTCTCGTACTTGTCCTCCGGCCTCTGCCCGCACGCTTCCAGCGCGTCTTTGAACGCCTTGCTACTAGAGCCGCGCCCCACGTGCCCCCCCGCTCATTGACGCTAACTTGCGGCTCGGGTCCGCCAGATACACTGACCATGGGGGAACACGAATATGCAGATACCGCTACTCCCTATATCTCTCCTGGGGTGCGTTCTGACCAGGATCCCCAGAATCCTCTGGACCAGAGATGTTTGCTATGGGTCACAACGGTCACGCAACTGGATCACCAGGTCAACTGACCCGCACGAGGTCACTGGGTCACCGGGTCAACTGACCCACACCGCTGATCGCCGGGTCACCAAATCAACAGATCCACCCCACTGGATCACAGGGTCACTGGGTCACAACTTAACCCACGCTACCGGGTCACCGGGTCAAGTCACCGGGTCACCCTAGTCAACTGACCCATGCACACCACCGGGTCACCGGGTCACCGGATCAACTGACCCACACCACCATGTCACTGGGCCAACTGACCAACACCACTGCGTCACTGGGTCAACTGACCCACACCGCTGGGTCACCGGGTCACCGGGTGAACTGAAATATACGCTATGCTGAATCACCGGGTCACCCGGCCCGAACTGACCCACGCCACCAGGTCTACGGGTGCACCGGGTCAACTGGCCCACCCCGCTCGGTCACCGGGTCGCTGGGTCGCAGGCCCCATGCCACGGGGTCACCAGGTCAACTGACCCACCCCACCCCACCCTGAGGCTCTTCAACGTTATACTTTTCAACGCTGGATCTTGAACAACATGTTCCATCACAAATGAAATTGCAGCATGTTGGTCATCCACCGGTAGATGTTAACAGGGAGTGATATCATCAACTGGCAATTCAACAACATCCGCTGGAAAACAAGCATCCACCGGTAATCCAACATCCACCGGTAATCCAGGACGGGGGTCGGGCCGTCTTGCATATTTTGCCAGCGGGCCAGGTTGATGCGTTGGTTAAAAGTAAGGGGGCCCTGGGACACACAGATAAATAGACACAGAGAACAGGATTCCCCACATGCACCCCATAGTGTCCGTGTTTTGTCTCCCCCCACTGCCCATATTTCTCCATATTTCCCGAGGGAATCGACGATGAATTGTGTCTGTGCGTTTTTCCCCTCCTGACAAGAGTACTGGTCGACGAGGTCGACGAGGTTGGGCTCGGGAGCGGCCAAGAGGGGGGTGTCCAAGAGGGGGGGGTGCAAATCATGACCGGCGGCATGTGCGCGGCCCAGCGGGGGGGCCAGGGACGTCATGAAAAAAGAAAAGGCGCCATGAAATCTGCGGAAATATCATGGCCCCCGCCGTGATATCCACCCCCCCCCATAGCCCCCACCCCCCTCTTTTCCGCCCCCGAAGGGTAGGGGCAGGCTGGGCGATCACGAGACAGCGTGCGCGGGGGGAGCGAGCGGGCCGGGAACTCGGCCACCGGCCGCGCGCAGACCCAGACCCCTCGCGCGGTGAAACAACTGCGACGGAGGTTCTTCGTCCTTTTAGGCCTCAAAGGGCCCTCACTGGGCCTCGGGACCGTCAGAAAAAAACTATGAAAAAAAACGGTCCCAGAAAAGGGGTCCAGACTTAGGTCGGGCCTGTCCCCCTACAGGCGAATGTTGGACGAAAAATCAAAAATATTCTAAAAATGCTCCCCTAATTATCAAACAAAAACCTGAAAATTCGTCCCGATACGATTTTTTGACAATTTTTGAACATTCCCCCTGTAGAGGGACAGGCCCGACTTAAGTCCAGACCTTTGGGGGTCAAAGTTGTGAACAAAATCAGGACGTCAGGGGTCTGGGGACTTGCCCCCCCGCGCTCCAGCGCTTTGGCCACACTGAATGATCTTGGCGTCTTGGACAACATCCACCGATAAGGCTGACATCCGCCAGGAACCTACACGTCGTTCATTTCTAATCGTGCTCATTTCTAAGTGTGCTCGTTTCTAGTTGTTTTTGACCCCCTAGTGGCCAGGAAGAGGACAAGGACATAAGAATTAGAAATGAAAAGATCTTGCCCCCCAAAAGAAATCAAAGAACTCTCGAATAATTAGAAATGAACCATGTGTAGGTAGATCCACCGGCAGTCGCGTGTAGCAGTGAATGCGATTTTTCCTCGTTTGAGCTCATGCACCGGTAAGCGGCCGACATCCACCGGTAAAACCAACATCCGCTAGTAAACAGGCCAACGCGAGGGTCTGGGTCTCTGGAGGCCGCCGGGTCACCGGGTCAGTTGATTCATGGCCGGGGCGAGTCAGGACCCAGAGGATTCATGATGAGGAAAATGGATGGGTGGCGTTAGATGGTTGAAGCACGTCCCTCCTGGTGTGAGAAGCCCACAGCCTTGTCCCGTTTACATCATCAACATCACTGCTAGCTGCATGATTATCACCGCCATTGTCACTACCGTTTTTTTGTTTTGTTTTACGGTTCGCTTCCCCATCTCGCTTCGCTGGGGTCGCGCCGGGCGGACAGACCCGGCGAATGCGACTTTAAAATGAGCGCGCAGGTTATCATACGGGAGGGCAGGACGTTAAACATAGCGGGATTCAGATGAGGACAACTGAGCTCGCACGGGCTGCATATGCTGCCAGAACAACAATAGCCCCTTGTGCATTGGTTGAACTGACCCCCGCACCTATATCCTGGAGCAATTAGATCATCCACACAGCAAGTTTCAAACATATCTTTGAAAACAGTCCTCCTGATGCAGCAATAAGTGTTTGCTTGAGGACACTGCAAATCGCAATTCTTCAAGGAAACGAGATGCACGTCGCCAGGATGCATATGCTGGCGATGCATTGTAGAGTTGAGGTTCTGGACATCGATCGGTATATCCTCCACTCTCGCCTCCTCATATTGTGTGTGGTCTGGCGTCTCGTCCTTCCGAATGTTCGCGATCTGCGGTTCGCTGGGGCCCGACGCCCGTGACTGGAGTAGCCCCACGCCGTCGGCCTCGTTCGTGGCGTCGCAGTTGTGCGAATCGTCCTCCATCAGGCAGCGTTCCTCCGAGGTCTTGGCTAAGTCATCGGCGGCAACGCAGCCGCGGCCAACGAGCAGGACGGCGAACGCTCCCGCAAGCACCACGACGTTCATTGCGGCAACGGCGGAGTAACAGGGGTTTGGCAGCAATAGGCGCAAACCAAATGTTCCCTATGCCTGAAGAGTTGCCACAATGTCTTGAGCCAAAATGGCTACGGACCATTGTCACTACCGTAATTCGATGATTACAGTGTTCAATCGAGTGGCACGTGTTGTCACGCGTAGTCATAATCATCATAGCTAAACATCATAGCGTGACTAACTTTAAATATCATGGTACACTCGTTTTTCATGTTACTACAATTGGCTTGTGCGTACATCACAAGCAAACTATGGCTACTTGCGACCGAAAAGGCTGACATCAAAACATCGGTCCCATAGAGCCCCAGGCCCGCGGAAAGCGAGGCGACCCGCGGGAGCCCCAGGAGCGAGGAACCGCAGGCCTCAAGAGGCTCCACAGAGAGCGTTGTGCCAGGAGCCCCTCGACAGCCCCCAAGAGGTTCCAAGAGACCCCAAGAGGACCCTGTGGGCCCTACAGGCCCTGAGGGGCCGAAGAGCCCCAAGCCCGCCCAGCCGCGCTGTCCGCGAAGCGGCGTCATCCAGCCGCGCCACCCGCGAAGCGGTGCCGTCCAGCAGTGGCGCCCGCGAAGCGGCAGGCGAGAGCGGCAAGAGCAGGAGCAGGAGGAAAAGGAGGAGCAGGAGGAGGAGGAGGAGGAGGAGGAGGAGATACCATGCCCCCACGCCGCACAGCTGGCATGCTGAAGACACGTTGAGTTCACGAAAACGTAGGGACGGGGGGGGGGAAGGATGTGGATGCGGGGTTGCGGGTTCAAGGCGAGGACCCAATACGCAATGCGAAACGCGTCTGAAACATCCAAGCGAACGACCCAATCATTTGCACGCGTGAGCGCCGCTTCGCGGCCACCGGTTGCGATGGCGATTCGCAGCCCCACTGCGGACTCAACACTGGAGCCCAGTTGCGGCTTATGGAGCTATCCTGGCGAAGGACCCCTGCTGTTCGTGTGAGCGCGGCGTTGCGGGAATCGCTGGCTCGGGCCGATTCGTGTCAGCCTCCAGTGATGCCTCGACGTGGTGCCGATTCGTGTCAGCCTTCAGTGGTGCCGGTTCGCTTCAGCCTCCAGCGAGGACTCGATGCTCCCAAGCAGATGCGTTGCACTCAAGCGTGCGGCATCGATGCCTGCAGCCCAGTCGCGAAGCGCCGTTCTCTTCACGCCCCGCGCTGCCCGCCGGGGCGTTGGGGTCCGCGCGCATCGAAGGGGCTGGACATGAGAGGAGGCGAGGAGAGCGGGCTCTCTTCTATCTCTTCGAGATTACCCCGCCCCTCTCTCCCTCTCTTCCTCTATCCCTCACTCTCGCGCTCTCTCTCTCTCTCGCTCGCTCGCTCTCTGTTCTCGTCTCGTCGTCGCTTGTGCTCGCTTGATGTCTCCATCGAGCTCGCGCGCGTGCCCGCTTCGGCTCCTCGCTGGCCGCTCCCCTTTCGATGTGGCGCTCTTGGCACGGGCGGCCGCTCCCTCGCTCGCGGTCTGCGCTGCGCTTCCCCCAGCGTAGCCACGTCCTCGCTCTCCAACTTGACGGACAGGCGGCCTTGACTGGACAGGACACGCGAGAGGACACAAGACTCTTCCGAGGGCCACATCGCCATAGGAGTGCAAGAAGGCGCGCGTCGCGAGGCACAGGACACACGGGTACCCTTGAGCTGGCAGGGTCGACCTACTAATCCGGGCCGACTGTAGAGGTGTGTTCCCCTTTCTTTAGGCCAGCGGGTTCGGCTGCTTTGCAATCTGCTATTGCTGCGGCTGCTGCTGCGGCTGCTGCTGCGGCTGCTGCCGCATCTCGAACGTCCAGCAAATTCTCCTGCTGCTCAGGCTGCTCGTCGGCGCTCTGTCGCGCGCCATCGTTTGCGCGTTTCATGGGTGCCAGAATGGGGGTCGGAGATCAGGCTGGATCTCGAGCTCAATAACTTACTCATCGCCGCTGTCGTCTTCGTCGTAGTCGTCGGGGTGACCCGGCGACTCATATCAACCACCATGCCACTCGGGGCCTCCCCGAACACGACATCCTCACATGATTGTGCTCGATTACCTGGTTGCGGCAGCGGCGCACATGCATGCGTCAGAGCGCTCCATAACGCTCTGGGGCGATTCATCACTGTCCTAGCCGCCATCCCCGAAGTGAGCAACCGAACTGCCAGCGGATAAGAAGCAGGAGGAGAAGCAGGAGGAGCAGGAGGAATAACAGAGGAGGACAGGA